GTTTGTATCCTTAATGTGCTTACATACATAGGTAAAGGTTTTACTGTTTTGTTCAAAAGTGAGATCATGATTACTCCAGAGAAATGTGTTTATGTCTCTTAGGAGGATCTCTGGGAGATTAAAGTTCCTAAGATTTCTAACCAGGTGATTTCTTACAGTTGAGTAATATGGACATGTATAGAAATAGTGATGTACATTTTCTACTCCCCCACATAAACATAAAGGGTTATCACTGAGGTAAACTCTATAAAGGTCATATTGTAGACTGCTGCATTCGTTCCTAAGTCTAGTGTGTAAAATTATAAAATTTCTATCTCCTACTGTTAAAAAATTTCATGTTTTAAACAGTTTTTTAATGCAACAAGAGAATGGGTTGACTTTATACAGGAGTTGAGGGAATTCCATTGTGTTACAGATGAAGGTATGAATGATTTTCTAAAAAGTTCTGTCCTACATCGTGGGAACGGAGACAAGGAAGGAGTTCTACCAGATAGTTTGGTGTCATATCATTTTTTCTTTTGAAAGGGTTGATAGCTTAATATGTTTACGACGTTCGGATAAAAGTTCCCATCCCGTCTCAAAGTTAACCGATTCTCTTGATGCGTATACAGGTAGGCCAGTAACTACTCGAGCTGCAAGTAACTGAACTCTTTCAAGTTTTTCAGAGTCTTGTTGAGAACACCCATCCCAGACTACCGATGTGTACTCCAATAAGGGACGAATATATATTTTTTAAAGAACAGATAAAGAATATCTAGACACTGAATATTTAAGTTTTTTAAGTAATACTAGTTTTTTGTATGCTGACTTGACAATACAGTCAATATGGTATGACCATCTGCCATCACTGGAGAAATTAAGTCCTAGATATTTATGATGTTGAACGAATGGTAAAGTAATGTTTTGAAATACAATATCAGGTAAAGTAGTATTTCGTCTTTTTGTAATAGAGATCGTATTTGTTTTTTCTGCATTGAATTTCATTAACCATTTCTTTGATCAATTTTCCAAAATAGATAGATCATGATCCATACAAGTTTTCATCTCTCCTGTGGTTGCAGATGATTTACCCAAGGATGTGTCATCAGCGAATAATCTGCTTATACTTATCATATTTTCAGCAACATCATTTACATATATAAGAATTAAGAGAGGACCCAGTACTGACCCAAGGGGCACTCCTGCTGATAGGTTAAGTGAGTTTGATTGACAGGATCTATAAACAACTCTTTGTTTTCTATCTAATAAGTAACTTTTTAACCAATTCAAAATATTACCTGTTACACCATATTTTTTCTAATTTGTACAACAATCCCCTATGCCATACCCTATCAAAAGCTTTGGATTGATCACAGAAGACTATACAACAGTCTTGTTGGTTGTCCAGAGCAGAGACAATACTATGGTAGATTTCCAAAAGTTGGAATACAGTGTAGTGGCCTGGTAAGAACCCTGATTGATATTTGTAAAATAAATTATTGGTATGAAAGAAGTTATAAATATTCTTAAAAACTAAACGTTCCAACACCTTACTGATACAACTTAGCAGAGATATTGGTCTATTGTTTAAAACCATACTAGGATTATCTTTCTTAGATAAAGGTACAATATTTGCTAATTTCCACGTACTAGGGAAGCAGTTTTCTGAAAGAGATCTGTTAAAGAGAATACACAAAGGTTTACAGACAGAGGAAGCTGTATTTTTTAGCATCCTATTATTAATTGAGTCTGGACCAACACCTTTATTTATATCAAGACTTTTAAAAAAAATCTTCAACCTTATTCTGATCTATATGTATATCTGTAAGAGAGAAAGTTGGTTGTGGAAACGGATTTAGAACAGTATTAGGTTCTTCTATTGTTGGTATTGATACAAAAAATATGTTTAGAGCATTAACCTTATCAGAGTCCGAGTATGAGATTGATGAGCTGCCATCAGTATTTGTGGATTGTAATGGAGGAATTTCTTATGATGATGATGACTTGTGTGATATAAGCTGTTTAAACAATTTCCAGTAACTTTTCTGGTTGTTGATAGATGCATCGGTAATTTTGCACTCTATATTATTACAATAGTTTGAAATAGCATGTTTTTTCATATTCCACACCTTGTTTCGTGCTGCTTTGTACATATTATAAAATCTGGAAGTATGATTAGAATTTGATTTCTTAATGCTGAATCGAACCAAGGTTTGTCTCTTGGATGAATAATAATTTGTTTGTGAGGTATACATTGTTCTATAAGTTTCATTAAAGTTTGTGTAAATATAGAACAAGTTTCATCTATATTTTCTGGACTGTTAATTATATAATCCCAATCTACATCAATTATTTTAATGTTTAATTCAGCAAAATCTGCATTTTTATATAACCAAATGGTACGGTGAAAAGATGTAGGTTTGGCTCTGTGGTCACTAAGATGTTGATCAACACTGATAACCCCACTTTCACATGTAGAAAAAGCTGAACTAACCAAGATAGGATCAATTAGGGTAGATGTTGCTTGAATGACTCTAGTTGGATCTGTAATTAGATTAAACAAGCTGAATGATTCATATATGGTTACAAGAGGATTTGATAGTGTTGCAGCGGTGAGGTCACAATTGAGATCACCTACAATTATAATATTATCGCTGATTTCGAGTGATTTTTCATTTGTCCATTCGAAGTAAGCCCAAAAACTGGTGGGTGCATTTGGTGGACGATATATAGTGCACAGTAATATATTAAGAGTTGGTGTATCAATTTGCACCCAAATTGCTTCCAGGTTATGATGTTCAAGATCTGTACGTCGTTGGGCCCTAATTGAATCAGATATATATATCCTTACACATCCCCCAAAGGCATTCCTGTCAGATCTATAGATTTGACTATGATCACTTAAAGGTAGATCGTTATTGGTAACAGTTGCGTCCAGGTGTGTTTCTGTAAAACACAAAATATCATAATCGGAAACTAATGCATACAAATCATCAATTTTGTTTCTAATACTACGGATATTAAGATGTAAAATATCCAAAGTGTTCAGGGTAATAGAATCATCAGAAGAACTTAACGGTTCAGGGCGAGGGTTTAATTCAACATCTCCTGCAAGGATTAATAAAAGTGATAAGATAATGCTATATAAATTAATTTTGTGAATCAGAATACCAAGTTTAGGGACAAGTCTGTGAGCTTGGAATATTATATTTCTAAGATTTTTGAGAATCCAGTGTAAAAAGTGTATATGTATGAAAGATGAATGTTCGTTTGTTTGACAAACCAGGTAAAACATGCCAATAGCCACTCTATGTTGCAATAAGGAATCACCCATTATCTAAATTAAGTAGCACAATAATAAGACAGAAAAATGGTGGCTTGTATACATTGATATGGTACAGGGTGAAAAGAGAAACAACCGTCAACATTGTAGTTACTTCATAATGGAAAAACATAATAAAAACAAAAAGAAACAAAAAGAAAGAAACGGGTTATGTACAAAGAACGATGAACTCATGGTTTCTTGTGTGCACAACACACAAACAAATAATTAACATCAATTTGAGGAAAATTATTGTATGCTAAGGAATATACAATACTGGTTAATATGTTTTGTATGTTTTATGGTATTGTATTATCTACAAGAACTTCTAATCATGCTCAGAGAAATATACTGAGTTGATAAATTATGTTAATGTAATCGCAAATTATATATATACACACATACTTTTTTCAAAATGCAAAAACATATAGATATATAAGAATATCTGAACTGAATTTTTGAATAGATAGAATTTAAATCAAGAAGAGTTTGAAAACAGTAACAGTATGAATCAAAAAGAGGTATATATTACTTGCATATACTGGTATCATTATATATGTATACATACTTTTTAAATGCAAGTAAGAATGTAAGATTACCATATTTGGAATAGTCAAGTAAGAAACTGACAACTTCCATGTGTCCTGCAGACAACAACCTATGTTCATACTCGTTAAAGAGCTTGTCACTCACACTAAAATATTAGATAGGTGTAAAACTTTAAAATGATTCAGATGGATGAGTTGTAAACTTGTGTAATCTCAGCTCTTAACATGTTTATCTATCTGCATCGAAGGTTTTCCTTGGTCAGTGTACTTATATTCAGTAAAAGTCTGAGATTATGAGAAAGTCTACCAAATATGTCGCTTATTTTCATTTAGTTCATTTTAATAAATATAAACGATGTATGATAGTAAAATCGGCGCCTTTAAGTATAATAAAACCTCGCTATACAGGAATAATTTTCAGTTTAATTCTGGCGTTATAAATGGGTTTGGCGCGATATATTGAGTGCGACTGATAACGAAACTATAATGGGAAAACAATGTACGTTGTAAAGGATTAATAAGAACGACAATGTGTGACAGTAAAATATGTCTGTGTTATTGAGGGGTCAAATGAAATTAAATGGTCCCTGTTTAATGAATAGCAAAATATCATCTTGACGCCATGTAAATCAAGATATTTTCAAAATCAGTCTTTTATAAACACAACGTTCTTCTTGACGTAGTATTTCTCTTATTTAATATGTTATCATAATTTCTATTTATATCAAAACAATGCATGCTATGCCCAAAATCTTTTCGGCGGTTTCTTCCTAGGCATACGTCCTAAGCATTAAGGGGAACATTTAACACTAAACAAATAAACAAATCCTGATTAAAATCAATGAAAAGGGTACAAAAAACTGCAGCGCGTCACAAATCGGTTGTCAGGATTTAGAGCAGGTGCCAAAATAATGTGTATGTATGATTCGACATCAACTAGGGTTTTTTATGACAACTCTGTCGTGCTTCGAAGAACAATTAGTTTGTAATATATAATAGAGAACATCCACCTTCCCTCAACGGCCTTTATGGGAAGGGGACATAAGGTAAATATATTCTACATTTAAATGAAACATTATTAGCAGCCATGAAGCAGTAAACATGGATAAATAAAGGCAACTTATACAATGTGATAATTATGCACTGTCTTATGTATCCGCGGTCTAGTCGGTGGAGCTCTTGTTAACAATGCACTGTACTGATACACTGTCTAATGCTTCGGCGAACTGATTGGTTGTTAAATCTGGTCTGTACGGTTATTAACTCTATTTATTTCTATCTTTCTTTTTCCTTATTTTGTCGATGGTGGGTTGTCGTTCATTCGGGTCCATATTGTGACATACGCAGTCGAATGTGTCCGCTATCTAATTTGCTGTAAACTGTATTGTGATATACACTGTCTAATGTGTCTGCTGGTTTGTGTGTAGATTTGTTGTAAACTCTGGTCTGTATTGTGATATAAACTGTTTACATTATCCACTGCCGAGTTGGGGTACGTGATGATAAGTCTGGTCTGAACTGTGATATAAACTGTACACATTATCCACTGTCTAGTTGGTGTACTTGATGATAGTGATGATAAGTCAGGTCTGTTCTGTGATATACACTGTATAAATTATCCACTGTCTAGTTGGTGTACTTGATGATAAGTTAGGTCTGTACTTTGATATAATCTGCATAAATTATCCACTATCTAGTTGGGGAACTTGATGAGAAGTCTAATCTGAACTTTGATATAAACTGTACACATTACCCACTGTCCAGTTGGTGTACTTGATGATAAGTTAGTTCTGTACTTTGATATAATCTGTATAAAATATCCACTGTCTAGTTGGTGTACGTGATGAAAAGTCTGGTCTGTCCTGTGATATAAACTGTATACATTATCCCTAGTTAGTGTACGTGATGATAAGTCTTGTCAGTGCTGTTATATAAATTGTATAACTTATCCACTGACTAGTTGGTGTACTTGATGATAGGGATGATAAGTCAGGTCTGTTCTTTGATATAATCTGTATAAAATATCCACTGTCTAGTTGGTATACTCGATGAAAAGTCTGGTCTGTCCTGTGATATAAACTGTATACATCATCCACTGTCTAGTTGGTATACTCGATGAAAAGTCTGGTCTGTCCTGTGATATAAACTGTATACATAATCCACTGTTTAGTTGGTGTACGTGATGATACGGCTGGTCTGTACTGGGATATAAACTGTATACATTATCCACTATCTAGTTGGGGAACTTGATGAGAAGTCTAATCTGAACTTTGATATAAACTGTACACATTATCCATTGTCTAGATTGTTTACATGATGATAGTGATGATAAGTTAGGTCTGTACTTTGATATAAACTGTATACAGTATCCACTGTCTAGTTAGTGAACTTGATGAGAAGTCTGGTCAGTACTATTATATAAACTGTCTAAATGATCCACTGTCTAGTTAGTGTACGTGATGATAAGTCTGGTCTGTACTGTTATACAAACTGTATAAATGACCCACTGTCTAGTTAGTGTACGTGATGACAAGTCTGCTCTGTACTGTGATATAAACTGTATACATAATCCACTGTTTAGTTGGTGTACGTGATGATACGTCTGGTCTGTACTGTGATATAAATTGTATACATTATCCACTGTCTAGTTATCTGTACTGTGATATAAACTGTATACATCATCCACTGTCTAGTTGGTATACTTATCCACTGTCTAGTTGGGGTACTTGATGATAAGTCTGGTCAGTACTGTTATATAAACTGTATAAAGGTTTGTGTGTAGATTTGTTGTAAACTCTGGGCTGTATTGTGATATAAACTGTTTACATTATCCACGGCCGAGTTGGGGTACGTGATGATAAGTCTGGTCTGTACTGTTATATAAACTGTATAACTTATCTATTGTCTAGTTGGTGAACTTGATGATAGCGATGATAAGTCAGGTCTGTACTGTTATGTAAATTGTATAACTTATCCACTGACTAGTTGGTGAACTTGATGATAGCGATGATAAGTCAGGTCTGTACTGTGATATAAACATGATAAGTCTTGTCAGTACTGTTATATAAACTGTATAACTTATCCACTAGCTAGTTGGGGAACTTGATGAGAAGTCTAATCTGAACTTTGATATAAACTGTACACATTATACACTGACTAGTTGGTGTACTTGATGACAAGTCTTGTCAGTACTGTTATATAAACTGTATAAATGATCCCTAGTTAGTGTACGTGATGACAAGTCTGCTCTGTACTGTGATATAAACATGATAAGTCTTGTCAGTACTGTTATATAAACTGTATAAATGACCCACTGTCTAGTTAGTGTACGTGATGATAAGTCTGGTCTGTACTGTAATATAAACTGTATACATTATCCACTATCTAGTTGGGGAACTTGATGAGAAGTCTAATCTGAACTTTGATATAAACTGTACACATTATCCACTGCCTAGTTGGTGTACTTGATGATAGGGATGATAAGTCAGGTCTGTACTGTTATGTAAATTGTATAACTTATCCACTGTCTAGTTGGCGTACTTGATGATAAGTCAGGTCTGTACTGTGATATAAACTGTATACATCATCCACTGTCTAGTTGGTATACTCGATGAAAAGTCTGGTCTGTCCTGTGATATAAACTGTATACATAATCCACTGTTTAGTTGGTGTACGTGATGACAAGTCTGGTCTGTACTGTGATATAACCTGTATACATTATCCACTGTCTAGTGGGTGTACGTGATGAAAAGTCTGGTCTGTCCTGTGATATAAACTGTATACATCATCCACTGTCTAGTTGGTATACTTGATGAAAAGTCTGGTCTGTCCTGTGATATAAACTGTATACATCATCCACTGTCTAGTTGGTATACTCGATGAAAAGTCTGGTCTGTCCTGTGATATAAACTGTATACATAATCCACTGTTTAGTTGGTGTACGTGATGATACGTCTGGTCTGTACTGTGATATAAACTGTATACATAATCCACTGTTTAGTTGGTGTACGTGATGAAAAGTCTGGTCTGTCCTGTGATATAAACTGTATACATCATCCACTGTCTAGTTGGTATACTCGATGAAAAGTCTGGTCTGTCCTGTGATATAAACTGTATACATCATCCACTGTCTAGTTGGTATACTTATCCACTGTCTAGTTGGCGTACTTGATGATAAGTCTGGTCTGTACTGTTATACAAACTGTATAAATGACCCACTGTCTAGTTAGTGTACGTGATGATAAGTCTGGTTTGAACTGTGATATAAACTGTACACATTATACACTGACTAGTTGGTGTACTTGATGATAAGTTAGTTCTGTACTTTGATATAATCTGTATAAAATATCCACTGTCTAGTTGGTATACTTGATGATAAGTCTAATCTGTACTTTGATAGAAACTGTATAATTTATCCACTATCTAGTTGGGGAACTTGATGAGAAGTCTAATCTGAACTTTGATATAAACTGTACACATTATACACTGTCTAGGTGGTGTACTTGATGATAAGTTAGTTCTGTACTTTGATATAAACTGGATAAATTATCCACTGTCTAGGTGGTGTACTTGATGATAAGTTAGTTCTGTACTTTGATATAATCTGTATAAAATATCCACTGTCTAGTTGGTATACTCGATGAAAAGTCTGGTCTGTCCTGTGATATAAACTGTATACATCATCCACTGTCTAGTTGGTATACTCGATGAAAAGTCTGGTCTGTCCTGTGATATAAACTGTATACATAATCCACTGTTTAGTTGGTGTACGTGATGATACGGCTGGTCTGTACTGGGATATAAACTGTATACATTATCCCTAGTTAGTGTACGTGATGATAAGTCTGGTTTGAACTGTGATATAAACTGTACACATTGTCCACTGTCTAGTTGGTGTACGTGATGATAAGTCTGGTTTGAACTGTGATATAAACTGTACACATTATCCACTGTCTATTTGGTGTACTTGATGATAAGTTAGTTCTGTACTTTGATATAAACTGTATCAATTATCCACTGTCTAGTTGATGTTCTTGATGATAAGTCTAATCTGTACTTTGATAGAAACTGTATAATTTATCCACTATCTAGTTGGTGTACTTGATGATAGGGATGATAAGTCAGGTCTGTACTGTGATATAAACTGTATACATAATCCACTGTTTAGTTGGTGTACGTGATGACAAGTCTGGTCTGTACTTTGATATAAACTGTATAAATGATCCCTAGTTAGTGTACGTGATGATAAGTCTGGTTTGAACTGTGATATAAACTGTACACATTATACACTGTCTAGGTGGTGTACTTGATGATAAGTTAGTTCTGTACTTTGATATAAACTGTATCAATTATCCACTGTCTAGTTAGTGAACTTGATGAGAAGTCTGGTCAGTACTATTATATAAACTGTCTAAATGATCCACTGTCTAGTTAATGTACTTGATGATAAGTCTTGTCTGTACTGTTATATAAACTGTATAAAGGTTTGTGTGTAGATTTGTTGTAAACTCTGGTCTGTATTGTGATATAAACTGTTTACATTATCCACGGCCGAGTTGGGGTACGTGATGATAAGTCTGGTTTGAACTGTGATATAAACTGTACACATTACCCACTGTCCAGTTGGTGTACTTGATGATAAATCAGGTCTGTACTGTGATATAAACTGTATACATAATCCACTGTTTAGTTGGTGTACGTGATGATACGTCTGGTCTGTACTGTGATATAACCTGTATACATTATCCACTGTCTAGTTAGTGAACTTGATGATAAGTCTGATCTGTACTTTGATATAAACTGTATAACTTATCTACTGTCTAGTTGGTGAACTTGATGATAAGTCTGATCTGTACTTAGATATAAACTGTATAAATTATCCACTGTCTAGTTGGTGTACTTGATGATAAGTCAGGTCTGTACTTTGATACAAACTGTATAAATTATCCACTGTCTAGTTGGTGTACTTGATGATAAGTCAGGTCTGTACTTTGATACAATCTGTATAAATTATCCACTGTCTAGTTGGTGTACTTGATGACAAGTCTTGTCAGTACTGTTATATAAACTGTATAAATTATCCACTGTCTAGTTGGTGTACTTGATGATAAGTCAGGTCTGTACTTTGATACAAACTGTATAAATTATCCACTGTCTAGTTGGTGTACTTGATGATAAGTCTGATCTGCACTTAGATATAAACAGTATATGAGGTTTTTCTGTTAACCAAAGTGTCTGAACAAACGA